AAAGCATTTGGCATTGTACAATGTGTTGGCAGTTGTTGGCGATAATTGCAGACCCTAAGGAAATATATGGGAGCCCAGGCATTAAACTGGCAGTGTAATTAATGGTCCCTATAGCAAATAAGACTCATAATTCTAATCATAGCAGATTCCCATTTTTGTAGTACTGTAGAAGTGAAGAAACAGTAGTATTGTACTATTGGCAACATGGTTTTGCACTTACATCTAAAAGGTAATTCACTGCATTAAACAGTACAGATAAATCCCAATGCGCTACTAAATTTGGGTGCGTAAGGTATGGAAGCATTCACCTCAAAAAAAGAACAAATGTGCAACAACCCCTTTTATTTCCTACATAGCTGAAAGCATTATTATGCTCATATATCCTGATATACTAAAGCCTAATTCCAGTTAAAAAAAAGGTTTTGGCAGGGGCTTTAACGTCTGTTGGGTCACGTGTGGCAGTTAACGCTGCAAATTGCAGTCAACAGGCCCAAAACACGGCATGCAAAATGCTGCAATACCGCAAATAACTATGAACAGACTCTATTAAGAACAGCTTTTTTTTTTTTTTTTTTTCTCATGTAGCTTGCCTGTACTGGAAAATACAGTAAAATGGATTAATGGATAGCAGATTCCAAAATCCATTTCCTGTTCAGAATATGTTCTTGCCCCAGCAGTGTGGATACATATAATTGTATTATGGTGCCTGAACACTTGTCAAAGCAGATGGAATAGCTAGTATACATTAACCATAGAAGTCCCCCTAGAATTTGTCTACCCTAAAGCAAAAACAGGATTATAAATAGGAATTTAATATTTTAGTAATTTAGGGTAAATAAAAATTATCTGCTGCTAGACATGATATATTGGAGGAACTGCGTACACTGTTAGTGTACAGAACGTCCACAGAATTTCCAAAAGTGCAACTAAAATAGAAAAACCTCCCAGCTTAGGACTAACACAGTAGGAAGTAGAATCCATGAGTTTTAATGCAATTTTTTTTTTCAGTAAAAGTGGATATACACTTGACTTTACCGCAACCTAATAAGACATTGAATTACATCTAAATCCCACAAAATGTAATATAGTGCAACTTAATAGTACTTTGATCCAGTAACACAGTTCCTGTCCTAGGGTGACAACGCTCACTCATTGGACTGTACCTATGGAGGATTAACATGGTCACCCTGGGGGAGGAAGGGCTTTTAGGACTACAGAACACTTCCCCCTCTCCTATCTCAGGATTAACATGTATTCTGGCACTTATTGTACAGTTATGCCAAAACCCTTTCAATAGCATATTAATGGACCAACATGAGGCAAAGAAAAGAAGTTGACGGCTAGGGTTTACATACATATTAACCCTTTCCAGTTAACCTAATCCTAAAAATTAACTCTCTTACTCCCCTATCCTTACCTCAACTCTTAAATTGATGTTAAAGCTATTTTAAATGCTGATGTTAAAGCTATTTCAAATGCAGATACATTCACTTACGATGGATGCCACTTCTTGATGTTTAAAAGTTTTAGTTTCCTGCAGAATCAGTTCATCCCCTGAGCACTAGCCCTGATATCTTGTTTTAGAGTGGCTCCTTTGCCTTGCAGGGTCCTCTAGAGCCACCCTTGTGTGTGCTAGTAAGCTCTGAGTGTCTCCACAAACGCAGCAAGGAATGCCAGTCCCCTCCCCCTCCTCCCTTTGCCTTCCACCCCCTTCACTCTTCCTTTTGCTAAACTAGACTTTGCTCTCCCTTTTGATATTGTACTGGGCAGGGAATTCAGGGATGCCAAGCAGAGAGAGTTGGGGCTGTTTGAAAAAACGGTGACTGTAAGTGCTTGGGCAAAAATGTAAAGAAATACTTTGTTGGGAAAAGTATATTTGTATGATCTGAGAGTTTAGGTCTACTTTAATTTGCTTGCCATCAGCCTAACTATAATCCTAATCCTCCTGTCCCATTGCACTCCTGACCGGACAAAAACCCAAATCCAACTGGGTGGGTGCGGTAGTAACAACGGATGCCTCAGCGGCAAGAGGTTAACGTCAATGCTGTTTATTGACTGAGATAACACACATCTCCTTAGCTAAGGAGATGTGTGTTATCTCAGTCAATAAACAGCATTGACTTTAATATCATGGAGTGCGAGTGACTACTTTCATCTATCTAACTATAATCCTAAACTTCCTTACTAAATCCACAAAAACTAAACCTATGACTTGAACTATTTGCATGACATGTACCTTGCACCAGTGTCCAAAAAGGTATCATTCTAACGATTAGAATATTTGAAAAAGAAAAGGTCCACTATGAAGTGGTTCTTTCTGTAATACTTAAAAAAATATAAAATAAAATAAAAATTCTGCACAATGCATGATCAAGTCCTGCTTAATACTCTTCAGATAAAGGCAGGGGTTAATATTTGTCAGATATTATTAGACGGCTTGTACAAGAAGAGGTTCATCTGTGCATAGCAAGCCTGTCCGCAGGAAAAGGGATTCAATCTAGTTTTGAAACAGGAGAGGGGGTTTATTTGTGCCTTACAGGTCCACTGACAGTGACAGATTTACTCCTTGTGTTGTCTGTATGGAGGATTAATGTTCTGCAACACCGTTTTTTAGCCAGGAAATGGATTATGTTGGGCATGTCTTTGTACAGTCGTAACAAAAATAACAGAGTGTTTTGTGCAGTGAGAAAGTGAGAATATGATATAACATTGTTATTATGATTGCATTACAATCACAGCCAAAAATATACTGTAAGGTCTTATGAGCTGTAAAAAAATACATAGGCTCTGTAAGAACTTTTACAAAAGAGAGCTCGCACAGACAAACTAAAAGCAGCCACAAATGTACTAAAATCCTCTTTTCTGTTAAACGTACATATATTTTTGCTCATTGTGTATACTTTAACTACTTCAGGACCGCTTGTACGGCGCAGCGAAATGTATGCCCCCCCCTGCCGCCAGCTACCCTGGGCTCCGCTGTCCCCCAGGCCCGGGCCAGCACGGCTAGTCTGCCCCCCACCAATTGGAGGGAGATCAGCAAGCTTGTAGCTGCTGATTTCTCCTCTGATCACTGGACCTAAAAGTGATGTGTATTACATCAACTCCAGTGTCACAGTTTACATTCTCCGGCTCCTGCAGCCAGGAGAAGAAGCTGGTGAAGCAGATTACTGCTTCATCAGCTTCTTTAGGATCCCCAAGTGATTTTAGGGGTCTGACAGACCCCTGATGTCTCCATAATGAGGACTTGTCACATCATATTTTTTATTGCATAGGGGCGTGTTAGCCCCCTATGTGATAGCAATATCCCACGTGCAGACATATTCAAGCATATGCGTCACGTGTTACATATTGTCGCGGACGTCGGAGTGAGAGCAATAATTCTAGGGCCATTAATCACTGTTAACACTAAATTGATGAGCAGTAAAAGCTTTTAAAGTGTCACCTATGGGAAATTTTGGGTATTGTAGTTTTTTCCGTTTTTTCGGGCGAACACAATTTTAAGGCTTGACATGTTTGGTATCGATTTACCTGACTTGACCCCGTCTTTTATATTTTACCAAAAAAATTGTTTTATTTTCTGTTTCTGTGCACTAAATTTGATTTTAGTGTATTCTATCCTAAAAATATTGGTTTGATAAAAATTTGCGCAAATACCGTGCGACATAAAATAAAAAATTGCAACTAGCATTTTTTTTATGCTACAGGGTCTTCAGAAAATGTATAATAGTTTGGGGGTTGTAAGCTGTTTTCTAGGCAAAAAAATCAGATTTTATCACGTGTGTTCAAATATTAAGAAATTGCTTCGGAAAGCTAGTGGTTATTAAATTATTTGGGGTGCCTGGCTAAATACAATTTGCTATACTTGGTTCCTTTCTTACAGGATTCAAATGTTTATGTTACATGGTTCCTGGGGAGTCCTATAATTCAATGTAAATGTTCTGTTTGCAATGTCCTGTAGTGCTCTGATCACTTTGTCTTTTACACCATGTACTTTTCTAAACACAAATGTGTACCATCTATTTATGTATGTATTTATGTATCTATCTATAAAAAGGAAAGAAAGAGTTTATGGTATGATGCAGAGTTGCCACATTTATGATAAAAAGGTTCCAGATACCCTTTGGGACCAACACTTGGCCCTACAGCACCCACACCTACACATCCCCCCTGATCTCCTAATCCTCGGACCCCTCCCCCTGTGTTTATTTTTTCTTCATCTGTTACAACTTACTTGTTATTACCCCTTGTCTCTTCTGCCTCCCACCTAACTGAACCCTCACACATCTCTAGTTCCATTATGATGATTTCACACATTCCTATAGCCAGAAGGTCTCACCCATGAGCACAATTAGCAATACCAAACCTGAACAATAATAGACTACACAGAAGCCAACAAGCCCTAGTTGAACATCTAATAATGGAAACTTCCTTGTATAACTGGACAGGGCATACATCATTACTGATTCTTATCCATGAAACAGGACAAGCACATTTTGTTACACAGCTTACTTAAGCAAACCTGTTCGCATTCAATAAATCATGCTTTGCTACGCTGTCATTATCCCTTACCATGTGCAATAGTTAAAATGTTGTATAATTTTTTGAAGGCATGCTCCAGTCCAAAGATCTGAACATTCTCAGGCCCCCGCAAAGGATCATGGGGCGGGCGCATGCGAGGTAGAGATCTTCGGCCGGGAGAAGAGGAGAGGCACAGGGTAAGTTAATGCAGCAGCGTGCACCCGCAGACTCCGTGGGACAAGAAGAGACAGAACTCAGCGTTGGATTAGAGACCGGCACCAGCGCTGGAGTGACTCCTGAAAACTACTGGAAAGAAAATGATGATCGGATGAAGAGGCATCATTTAAGATTAGTACTTAAAGCAGCAGTGGGGGGGGTTGACTAAAATGTCACTTTGAATCTCTTCAATAAGGCCTATTTTAGGAAAAATTGTTACATGTACATCTTGATGTACATATGGCAGCGATAATGTATTTACTCACCTGCAGCAAGCAGCGATCCTTAAACACATATCCAGTTAAGTCATCTAGATGCATCAGGCACTTGTGATAGCGGATGTGATGGGTCAACACTGGCAGCATCATTGCATGCTAAAATAAAACAAAAAGTTATTAAACCTCTACAGTTACAAAACAATAATGAAGGCAACAAAAACATTTCTTAGAGGGCAGTCAACAATGGTGACATTCCAATACATTATGCAGAAAACATCAGAGCACTGAGCTTCTAAAACGTGTATCTATAACAAGAGACAATGAGGTTACTGCTCTAGACCTACTTATAACAAATTGGATTTTTAAAATAAGGAATACTTGCCTTTTGTCACACCATAAAACAAAATGATAATATGCCACTAAACAGACAGCGCATAATAGGCTACTGGTAGATGGCTAAGTATGTACCAGTCAAGCCATTCATACAATGAATTATTTTAACTGAAAGCATACCTAAACCTCTGCAAGGGTCATCATTATGCATGTGAAAACAAAATGGGGAATGTTCTCAAAACCATTGTTTTTTAACAAACATTAAAGAATATGAGTTCCTTAAAGTATAACTGCTTTATGGTAACACACATACCAATTACAGTGACTCAGAAACCAATCTGCCAGAGTAGCTACCTAGAAGAACATGTTCAATTTAATTACAGCTGGGAACCCAACTAGGGGCTTTTAGCCATTTGTGATTCTCCTAGTGAATATTTTTTGCTGCCACCCTATTAGCAGCTGTTTTACTTCTGCACCACCTGTAAGTCCTGAACATGGTGGGAATAATATATTTTGCTGCAATACTCACACTCACCTAACAATAATGAGCACCTTTCAAACCACTAGAAAACTTGAAAAGCGTAGCAAGGGTCTGACTATAGGAAAGAGCCTCTTATTTAGAGTATTTTTTTTCGCAAAGGGAAACTATAGCGTATTCAATTTAATGAGCATCACATATTGTAATGGTTACTTTAAAATATTTCTTGATGAGGTATTTGCATGCTAAGTTTTCCATATTTTCATGACTGTATTTCATACGCACATTGAGATTCTCCTTCCAATGGCTGTATGCCAGAAAAATACATTCAGCCACACCGAGAGTTCATGATTTTAAGCCCCTCTAAGCAGCCTGGGGAACTTTGAGAGAGATCCCCAAGTGCCAAGAGCGGCCATTATTCTCTATGGCCATGCGCTACACATGTTTGTTCACTTTACAGCAAGATGCAATTGATGAAAACATTGGAAAGGCGAACCTTCTGGTGGGTCAATGCTTGGTCTGTATTTGAGGTCTGTACATTATCAGACAAGTTTGATTAGGTGGGTAAGATGAGGCAGATCTAATCTAAAACTTATATCAAATGCACAGTTAAGCTGGGTATACATGGTTAAAATTTTGTTAGAAAATTGTAATTTTTGGAATGTTTTTCTGATTTTCTAATAGCTAATATGGTCATTTTGATAATAATCGCTTTCGATCACAGTGATTAAAAAAGTCAAACGAGCGGGATGGAAACGAACAAATCTTCAAATTAAGATTGTAGTTCTAATTTCTGACAGATCTTAATTACAAATTAGAACAACAGTTCCCAAACAAATGTTCCCCATTTATAAATAAGCAGCCAATGGCCACTTCTCGAATACATGCACTTAACACACTTCTTGTCTATTCCGGTCTACACTGATTACTCTATTGTATCTGTTAAGGGAGCCATGGTTGTCACACAGGCTGGACTTCAAACATATTTGCCTTTGTTTATCTCCATTACATAGTGGATTGATGGGATATATAGTTTACACAAGAAAGCTAAATATGTTTGTGCTTTCTTTTTCGCTCACAAGAAGTTGAAAGGATACTGCTTTTCTGGCATATATTTTTCTAAAACCTGAAAAATTAAAACAAATGCAGCGGCCACAATGGAGGACTGGTAAGCTGCAATATACACTGCCTGTCCAAAAAAAAAAAAAGTCACACACTCTTAATATTTAATTGGGCTGTCATTAGCTTTGGTTACGGCATGCATTCAACGTGGCATCATTTCAACAGGCGTTTGCAATGTCACAACATTTCCATCCAGTTGTATTCATTTTTCTTTTGTGTGATGATGTAGTGATGATGGGAGAATTGGACCACTGCGTAAAGTCTTCTCCAGGTCACTCACTTTTCTTTTTGAGCTTGAGAAAGAGGATCTCCTCGAAACGCGTTGCTCCCTCATCACTGCCCCGTGCACGTCCTTCTTCTGCCCTCTGCCACCTTCACTTCACCACTTCCAAAAACACCGCGGCTAAGATCAGAGGCAGCCGCTCCCCCGGCACACACAGCCCTCAGTTCACATCTGGTCTTCACTTCATTCTTCTATCCCTGGGTTCATTAACACACCTGATGACTTCCATTCCAGCCATCATGGCCAAACCCTAGGACCTGCCCTGCCTTGCCCCCAAGTCCTCATCTGGAGACCATCATATACTGAACACCTCCTCACAATACTCCTTGCATCGCCAGAATCTCATCGGGGCCCCCCTTGCCTGGATCTTTGACAGCTAAAGTAAGTCCCCACTTTTAATCTTTTAATTTACATTTGATTTTTTTACCTTTTATTTCTATTTTTACCAATTGTACCCCACATACACGAGGTGTCCCCACACCATTCACACCTTCGGGATTTGCGATCTTATTGCTCCATTTCCATAGATTTCTCCCCCTGTTCCTAGAGCAGCAATCCAAATTTGATTGCACCCACACACACCACACATCCCTAAGAGAGCGCTGTGCTTTTTTCTTTTTCGTTGTAAAGTCTTCTCCAGCACATCCCAAAGATTCTCAATGGGGTTAAGGTCAGGCCTCTGTGGTGACCAATGCATGTGTGAAAATGATGTCTAATGCTCCCTGAACCAATCTTTCACAATTTGAGCCTGATGAATCCTGGCATTGTCATCTTGGAATATGCCTGTGCCATTAGGGAAGAAAAAAAATCCATTGATGGAAAAACATCATATTCAGGAAGGCAGATGACCTCATTTTTTTGGGCACATAACGTTGCTGAACCCAGACCTATTATCTAATGGAAGACTCTGAGCATTTGCCAAGCTAAATCCAAGCGGTGAATTTAATTTTGGATAGGCAGTGCATTTAATTTCTGTTTTAAAGTTTAGCATTTAAAAAAACAAAAAATATAAAAGATTCTTTATAAGGTACACAGTCCCAGTGTGATGTTTTTCCTGTTGAATCAGAACAACTATCGTTATATGTGACATACCGCATGTCCTCAAATAATGCTGCCCTTTGTCATTCTATGACCATAACACTTCCCTCCCTCACCTAAGTCTCTCTCAAACCCATCTGCTTTTTCTTGTCATTTTATCCCATGTATTATCAAATGGTAGTTCAAAGAATAGCAGATTTATCCTGCAAATATAGTAGCCTGTCACACCAATATAATAGAGCTTCTAGAAGAAAAAAAAGATCTGCACATATGAGGTTGGTGTCGAGTACAGGATGGCTCCACAACCAATCAAAAAAAAAAAAAAAA